TAGCTTGTTCACAATTTGTCTTTTGTAATGTTGTAAACGGCCAATGGCTCATTACAATAAACGAAACTGGCTGCGAGAGTTGGACTATAAGGAAGGCCGAGCGCCCAAGAATAGACTCTTCTGACCTATGGTGCTGGAGAAGACTCTTGAGAGTCCCTTGGACTGCAAGAAAATCAAATCAGTCAATCCTAAAAGAAATCAACCCTGACTGCTCCCTGGAAGGCCAGATAATGAAACTGAAGCTCAAATACTCTGGCCACCCAATGAGAAGGGAGCACTCCCTGGAGAAGAAGACCCTGATGCTGGGAAAGACTGAAGGTCAAAGAAAACGGGGACGGCAAAGGATGAGATGGTTAGACAGTGTCATAGATGCAACGAACATGAAGTTGAGCAAACTTCAGAGGACGGTGGAAGACCAGAAGGCCTGGCGTGATCTGGTCCATGGGGTCGCGAAGAGTCGGACTCGACTGTGCAACTGAACAACAACAAAACTGGAAACTGGAATTCTCCCTGCTCCTCCTTCTTCCTGGACAGGAGGGATACGTTAAGGGTAGATCGAGGAGGCCAGCAGCTCTACGTTCCCCTCTATGTTTCTTTTCCTGCGAGTCCTCGGAATCCTTATCGGCCAGTGCCTGGCTTACCCATGGCCGCCACTTTTCATGGGAAGAGCCCACAGGCGCAGCCTGTAACTCCAGCAGCTGGCCAGACCCCCGTGCAGCCCTACCTGCTTCACCCACGGTGTGATGTTCCTCTCGAGTCTCAAGTCCCTGCTCTGCGTTTCGGTCACTCCCAGACATTTCCCGATCTGTTTGTCCGAGAAGCCGATCTGCTTGGCTCTCCTCAGGGTGTCCTCGGGAATGGAGTCTCTAGAATGGACATTAAAAATGCGTTACAGATGCGATTGTGGATGCTACGTGTCTCCAAGGAGTTCAGAGCAGCATACACAGATCTCTCATCCCCCCAACGGCAGGTGAGGAGCTCTACAGGCCAGACATTCTTTCTCCCTTTCCCCTTTCCTCGCTTCCATAAGAGACACCAATGTTGGATCAGACTAAAGGCCCATCTAGTCCAACACTCTGTGTCACACAGTGGCCAAAAATACCAGGTGCCATCAGGAGGTCCACCAGCGGGGCCAGGACACTAGAAGCCATCCCACTGTTGACCCCCCCAAGCACCAAGAATACAGAGCCTCACTTGCCCCAGAGCCCCTATCTATCCCTTGTGGCTAATAGCCACTGATGGACCTCTGCTCCATATGCCTATCTAATTCCCTTTTGAAGCCGTCCATGCTTGTAGCTGCCACCACTTCCTGTGGCAGTGGATTCCATGCTTCCAGATCAGGAATAGCTGCACTTTAATGAACCATTAATGCTCCCGCGCATTCCTTGGACAGCCAAGGTAACCAACCAGCAAGTATCGGAGCGCATAAAACCAGAGGTGCCATTGGAAGGGGAAAAATCAAAAAACTGTGACTGACTTATTTCCACCATGTCATGCGGAAGAACTCACTAGAAAAAGCAATTATGGCCCCGGTCACATGGAGGATTTGCCACGCTAAAGGCAGGAATGTCAGGCGGATTTTCGGGGCACGATCACACCGCAACATCTGGGAAGCGTAGCGCACCCGTGGCCAACCCATGGCATCCTGCCAAAGATGTGCAGTTAAAAACTACCGTGGAAAGTGCACTAGTATCTAGAAAACGCGGGGCAGGGGCAGGCGTCTGATTGCGGGAGCGCGAGTATCCCGTGGCATCTGGCACCTATCCATGTCCCGTCGCAAACCAGATGTTTTCCATAAGCACGTGCGCACAAACACGTAACTGAAAACTGAAAGTGCTGCTCCGCAGAACCGCGCATGCACACAAATGCAAAATGCTTGCCGCACTGCTTCTTTGCCACGCTCCAGCATCGCCATGTGATTGCCAGCTAACAGCCTAAACGCGGAGACTCGGGGAACCATGTGATCAGGCTACCGTGCTTTATTTTGCTCTACGCCCCCCCCCCCCCCCCGTGTTATCTGGCCCATGTGACGGGGCCTATGCTTGGATTGGTTAGCGGCAAAAGGAAATCAGGCCACCAAAGAACATGGTGGCTATAGGCACCATAAAAGTCGACACCAGCCTGAGCACGGAACGACTCAAAGAAATAGTATGAGATGGGAAAATGCGGAAAGAGCCTGCCCGTAGAATTGCCAAGAGTTGAACGTGACTGAATGGCTAACAACAACAACAATGAACCGGAACAGAATGATGGGAGGTGAAAAACTCTTGTGGGCCGTTGCTCTGAGCATCCAGCAGTGGCACCATCCAGAGGCCCACAGAACCCCCGCCGTTCCCTAGGGCTTGCTGTGTGAAAGACACTTTTGGAAGGGAACCAGTACTTAAAGACTCTTAAGAAACGGGATCTGGTACGCCTGAGGAGCAGACTGTACCTTTCTCGACCACGTGGAGAGAGGAAGGCAGGAAGGGAGACTGCAAAACATTTCAGTATTTCAATCTGCAGATGCTCAGAGACAGGCTCTGTCTTCCCAAACCTTCCTATCCTCCTGCTTGAGCGCCACCCCGTGGTGCATAACATTTTTTAAAAACCCCACTCTGCCACAGCTGAAGTTACAAAAGGGTGCGTGGGGCGTCACTAAAAATTACAAACGGCCATTCTTCCAAAAGCCTGGCCTGGCCACGGTGATCCACGCTCTGTTCACATCCTGGTCAGATTATTAGTCATTATCTGAAGACGTGAGCGGCCACAAGTGTCAGTTGCTAAAGCACTGCTGGACTCTTGCTCTTTTCTACTGCTACAGACAGACTCACACGGCGACCTATTTTGATCAGTTAGATTACTGGAATGTTCTCTGTTTAGGGCCCTCTTTGGAAACAGTTTGGAACATTTATTTTTTTATTTATTTATCAGATTTATACCCCGCCCTCCCCACAAAGCAGTCACAGGGCGGTTTCCATACAAACATAAATACAGTTAAAATCATACAGTCATTTAAAACACAACAGATAACATACAAACACAAGGCGCTGGCAACAGTTAAAACTTAACTTAGATGGCTCATTTTCAAGATGAATTACCACTTCCCAGATATTCTCAGATATTCTTCTGCTCAGAATTTCTTATGGCATCGGCTCGATGTTAAACCGATGAGCCAGGGCTCCAGGCCTGTAGCTAGAACCTTTTTATTGGGGAGGCCCTGGGGAAAGTGGGGGGGGGGGCGAAAGAAGGGCTGGCCTGAGGTTGTCCTGCGCTCTAGGCGAGCGCAGGTGCCAACCTCCCGGCGGGGCCTGGAGACCTCTCCGCCAGAACCAGGCTGGGAGGAGGGTCACCCAAAGCTAGAACCTTTTTATTGGGGAGGCCCGGGGGAAAGGGGGGGGGGGGGCGAAAGAAGGGCTGGCCTGAGGTTGTCCTGCGCTCTAGGCGAGCGCAGGTGCCAACCTCCCGGCGGGGCCTGGAGACCTCTCCGCCAGAACCAGGCTGGGAGGAGGGT